GAAAAATGCAAATGGACAATTAAATAGATAGGTAGCATAACTTTTTTAAGATGAAAAATGTTACTGACTTTAAAAGATGGAAAGAATGACTGACCGTGAATAAAACGACTTTTGTCATCCTCTATGGATAAATCTTCCTCGGCAGTAACTTTCAGTTCCTCGTGGAGGTCATTGAGAAAAGCCCGAATAAACTCGGGCGAGTCATGTTGGGCAAATCCTCGAAATATTGGATGCACAGCCCTTATTGCGTTCAAAACAGAATTCGGAACGGCAACCCTTGGTCTGTGAAAGGATTATGGAATAAAAACTGTATTACCTAGTGGAGCTCCATAGCTCACTCAAGAGGTTTGTGTAAGCGGTAGCTAATTTTGGGGGGTCACCTCTGAAGAACGGAGGTGGACAGAGGAGCAGGTCTGTCAACGGCGGACTAAAAAGGTGATTAACGCGAAGGAATTACATACCATTGTGACAGAACTTGGAGAGATGCGTTCATGTAGCAAGTATTTCCCAGATTTTGAAGACCGACGAGGCCTGTGGACGTCGGATCAGATAAGTTAAAGACGAACCTTTTGGTGGATCGCTAGAAAGATTATCCGCATTTTCATCATGTTTATATACGGGAGGCATGAAGTGTTTTTTGACTTTGTGCTGGAAAAGGTGTTCAAAAGGCTTCTGGGCGCAGCGAGTCCCAATGGAGAGAGCAGACAGCGCAAGAACAATAGCACCCTACTTGTCCAGGGTGGTCTAAACTGGCTTTAAAGGTGCGTGAGAGGTGGCAAAATGGTCTTCTATGAAATGAAAAACATGAATTAACTGATTTCCATGAAAAAAAAAACAGAGGTAAGCTTGAAGATTTAGCGTGCCAAACGAAAACAAATGGTCTTACACTCATTGAGATAATTTGTGAAAGAGCACGGCCAATCACATAAGATAGGCAACATTACACTAATGAACTAATAGTATTTTCCCACCACGAAAAACCTTCAGTAACCCATCTCTATGTCGAGATATGCCACCTAACCATAGGGAAAGTGACTTAATCACCCGGACTTGACTGTAAAAGTAAGCAGAGTCAAATGCAGAAACCTATCGATGTAAAGCGAAAAAACTTTTGTAAAAAAGTTAATCTAATTCAGCTAGAATAAGGACAAAAGCTGATCCCCGCAGTGCCCACCGGAAACAGATGGATTATAGGCGGCACTTCAAAGAAAATGCGCAGGGAACAGAAAGAAGAGTGTCCCTTATATGAACATCTCAAGAGAGTAAATCCAAATGCACGTCAACTAATAAACTACAGAAAAGAATAAGAGGAAATCATGCTCCGGTTCTCATTAAGGCCCAAAGAGAATATGAAGGATAAACGTCTATGCACAGTACACGTAAAAAGCTCGAATAGAATAAAAACCACCGTCCTACATGAGCGCTACT